TCATTCTTTGATATAATAAAGTATTGGTAAAAGTAGAAAATTTAGGCCAGAGACCGTGAGTTGATTATAAAATGATTACTTTCACCGTAGTTCTCTCCATAGTCCATTTTTTAGCTATCCTTGACTATAAAAAAAATTAACTGTTCTTGTATATTACTAGTTGAAATACTCAGTATTTTAGTATCTATTATTTTCTTTTTCACTTCTTAATAAGAATGTATAAAGTTAAAAAAAAATATCAATGCCTAACTATTTTTCTAAAGTGAGATATAAAATGGAACAAAAAATACTTATCTAAAGTGACAAGAATGGAAGTATATTTGGAGTCTGTCATGACTTGGGTCATCTTTCTGATTAGATGCTCACAAAACCAAATTTTGGGTTTGGTGTTTGGTGTTTGGTATATTCTTGTATTCTCTTGTGACAACCTTTGTTGCAACTCCAATGATCCCTTGATGCCTTACCCTGAACTTATACAATTGCAATATAACCCATCTAAACATTGATTGTGCACTATTTCTTATTCTGATATTTGGCTATGACATAAACATGATACGTAATTTTGAAGCATTCTTTAATTATCATCTTCTTCAATAATTCAAATTCATTTATAATGATTTCAGGAGAAGAGGCTGGAAGAAGAAGATGAAGCAATGATAAAATCGGTTGTCTTCCATGTAAGTATTACTATCCTGCAGTTTTAGTTCTCTTCCTTCTAGTTACTTTTGTTTCCTGTTTTTTTAATCCTGGTTTTTGCTGTATACTATATTTACCAGAATTCAGGAGGTTATGTCAAAAGAATTCGTGATGAAGATATTGAAGCCGAAGAGCAGTTAGATCTGCCTTCTCATGGACATGGTGAAACAAGTTATAATATGAAGGTATATGTCTGCTTGCTTGCAGTAATGTATTTTTTTTGTTGTCTTGTTGGAAAAATAAATTATCATCATTATACACCAACTCAATTATGTTTTCAATCACACTCTGTTCTTAACTATTGAAATTCAAGACTTAATCTTCAACCTCATATTGCTCTGAACTATGATATTCCTGGTTTTCAGTAATTACTGTTGTGAGTCATTTCTCGGTTCACTTTCACTAAACCAGCTGTCTCTGAGTTTGATTTCACTATTCATTCATAACTTTTGTATGGCAAGCAGGATCAATGAAAATTTCTTTTTAGGTTCCGTTAAGCTTTCAATTTTTTTATAAGGAAAGAAACAAAAAATTGTAGAACTGTCTACAGGATCATAATGGCTGCTTGAATGCATTTGTTTTTTGTTTTTTTGGAGGCAGTCAGAAAATGGAGTTGCAGTTAAAATATCTGGGAAAAAAATATGATAATCTAGAATTTGGAATTACATGTTTTTAGCTTCTTTGTGGTGTTCTGCTGTTGGTTTTTTTATCTTAAGGTGGGTTTCTTAGATTTACAGATGGATATTGGCAGGCTTTGTTGCATGTTTCTTGATCTTTATTTTTTTTCCTTTTACCATTTAATATTTGTCTCTCTTAAAATAAATTATTGCTTAGAAATAAAAATTCAAAGGAAGTTTTCTATTTTTATTTTCTTTTTGAGTGTGGACTTTTTTGACTTGAAATATGTGTGAAGTTCATAAAATTTTCTGAAATTTATAGGTGAAATTTTTCTAAATTTACAAATTTATCATCCGTATGTGGTCTTTTATTCATCTAAAGCATCAAATCTTGTACAAAAACAACTGTTTGAGTGTGTGTTTGTGTTATACATGTGTGCAGAAACAAAAGATGTCTGAAGATCGTCCAAGCAAACCAACTGACTCTCTTACAAAAGCTACTTTGGATGGCAAACAAGGTATGTACTTTTCACGTAATGCATCGAAATTCACCAATGCATTGAAATGTTATCGCTCAGTGAAGTCATCACTATTAAAAGAGAATTGACATGAATGCGGATCAATTTGAAGGACCATCTTCAGTTGTGTATCATATCAATTGATCTGGATTTACCTCTTACATTTGTTATGTCACCTTCACTTGGTAGTATCAGTCAAATAACCCAAGCCACATTACCCATCATCTGCACAATTGGTAGTATCAGTCAACGAACCCAATCCACTTTACCCTTCATCTGCACTACATTACATTAATGTTATACAAGCATCCCCTCCTTCCTATCTGTAAGGAGATATCATAATATTAATTTACTCTGTAAAATATGTTCTGCATCATAGAAATGTAAAGATAAAACATATTTATAATAAACTGAACATAACTACCGGAACACAATAACCAATGGGAAGTTATTTCACTCTATCCTTTACACTATTAAAAAGAAAACCTTAAGCTTTGCACAATTCTGATCTTCGTCTAATATTTATAGAGCCAGGTTCGTAACACTAGTATGATTTGCAGAAAATCGAAAAGCTATGCACACCATTCACACCTGCATTTTTTATTTTTAGTCAGGTTTAATTGGTTACGTTTAATATTTTTTCTTTTGTTTAGTAATATGTTTTGGTTATTTGTAGAAAGCGAACGAAATGGTGGAAAACTTAATTCTTTGGTGAGAATTTCTATCACCAAGAAATCAGATGTTAAAAGTCCTGGAGAACCAGAACCAGAGAAAAAGGATATTAGAACAAATACTGGATTACAATCTTTGTGTCAAAATTATGGAAGCGAGGATGAGGATTAGGTCATAAATATTGAAGGACTATTTGAACCATTGCACTTATTTGTACCATTGCTCTTATTTGTGATTGTTTAGTTGTATTGGTGATGGATTGTGATTCTTCCGAAAGCTAAAATATTGTGATACTTGGTTTCCGTTCTGTTTGTATTCTTGTTACGTTAAGTCTGTGTAAAAACTATACTTATATCTTGGGAGTTTTAAAAATAAATAAAATATATTTATTATATGAATTTAAATTAACTGGTAAAAACACTAGTACTTTTATCTTGGAAGTTTTAAAAATAAATAAAATATATTTATTATATGAATTTAAGCGCAAAAAACTAGTACTTTTATCTTGGGAGTTTTAAAAATTTATATGAATTTAAGTTTAAACATATATAATTAAAATTTAATATAAGTATTTTATTTTTTTGTAAAATTCAATAATAATACTTTATTACTTTTTAATTAAATACGTTTTGTTATGTAATTGTATCGAACAATGTGATAACTAAATCAATCGAAATAAAAAATTAAAATTTAAATGAAACAATAACCTCTCATTTTAATAGTTTTAGCACTTTAATGGAGTATTACATATTCAGTAACAAGAACCATTAACTTAAAAGTTACTCAAAATTAATCGTGACATCGTATTTTTATGTACAGAATAAGTTTCTAAAACTAAGATTGCCTTTACATAAACTAACTGTTTTAAGATAGGCTTTCAAAAACTTCAAATACAAATGAACTTGTCTTACTAAAACATCATTATCCTTTATGTGATAATTGTCAAAGAGATAAACATGCATTTTTAAATTAATAATACAATTATTGAACACAAGAAAATCAAACAAATATCAAGCATACACACTCTAGACTTGATCATCTAGGTATATGTATTAATTGTGACAAGTTTTTCATTTGTAGTGATGTTACTGCTTGTTCACCCAAGTTATAGATAAGTATAATTTGTCTACCATCTATGTTAAAAGAATCAAAACGATAGATTAGGATCTCTCGCTTCTCCTTACCAAATAACTCCTTTATTTACTTGAGATAAAGTAATTATTAAAGCGTCAAGATAACTTTCAAGATCGAGTTTCTATATCAATACAATACACTATTGAACGTCACCACAAAATATACTCATAAGATCTATGAAATTGCGCCAAACAATTAACTAATGAATGCTACCATGGAGTCTCATCCCCATGCCCACAAAATTATGTCAAACATTAATATTATACCAAGAATCATAATTCATTATCACATTCATATCATACTTGAAATAACATCATACACCCCATATTCATTAATCATCAACATATATAATATCCGCCCTTATTTAATTAATTTGTGTAAAACAATCTAAACCAAAAACAACTTTTTAAAGTGTAGAAAGCTTAAAGGGAAAACCCAAAACAAATGTCTTGTACTAAAGTCACTTGTCCAACGAATTAAGCAAAAATAAAAATCTAGACTTGCAATAAAGAAGTCGCCCTAATCCACTGCTTAACTCCCAAAAGTTAGAGAGCTCATTAAATTTGTGGTGCTTAATGCCCAGAGTGACACTCAACATCTTAAAACCTAATGACTTTCGAGTTTTGCTGAGCTCAGTGTCACACAGATTGATTAATATTTAAATTCAGAACAATATTAATTTTTCACCAACAAATTTATTAATTTTTAACCTACATGTTACAATTCAAAAATATATATTTATTGAATACTTAATCAACCATAAAAACTTATTAAAAATTTAATTAATGTTTTCAAGTTGATTAGAAACTTGAAATTTAATTAAGCCATTTTGTTTCTAAAAATCTTTTGCTAAATCATAGTTAAACCACATTTTATGCATGAAGTAAGCAAATTTTTTATTACAAGATACTATACATAATTATTAATATTTCATAATACGTATATTTGTTTTGATTGTAACTTCATATAATAATACATTGTTTTAAGTAGACTATTTAGACGTACTATGAATCACTTTTTACTTTCGTTTTCACTTAAAAAAGTGAAATTTTAATTAGTAAATCGATTAATATTTAAATTCAAGAGCAACGCTAATTTTTAACTAACAAATCGGCACAGTTTACAGTTAAAAAGATAAACAATTTCAAATTTAAAAAAAAATATAATTAGTGTACAATGTTAACCTTTATTTGAGAAATTCATATATTTCAAAATTCAAAAGACGGACAATTTTAAATTTAAAAATTAAAAGAAATCGTAAAATGGGAAAATCTGTATCTTTTTCAACCTACTCAAATATTTACAAATTCTTAAAAATATTAAACATGGAATTGGATGAACCACACCGATGCAATTCAAGTGAGAAGCTTTCTTATGCCTTCCAAGCTCATAAATTATTTTATTTTAATTCAATTATTCTGTAAGGGTTCATCCACCGTATGAACACAAGAACCCTTTCAATCCTTCTTTGTTTCACATATACCCAATTCAATTTTCACGCTTTCATTCTACGCAAACCGACTCTGTTTTCATGAACCCTCGTTCATGCTCCTTACGAAATCGATGTTGTGATTTCACCATTTTTTTGGTGTGTTAAGCAGAGGAAATTCAGAAGGCATGGAAAATTCCCAAGATGAACCACTTCCTCCAGGTGTTCCTTCGTGGCCAAACTATGCCCTTGCCGCTCCTTCACCTCAATACCCTTTTCCTCCCAACGCCCCCAACAACCTTCAACATGAAATTAACCCTTCCAATTCTAATCTTACTGTGAACACTAGAGTGGATGATGCCACAGTTACAGTTTCAAATAACATCGCTTCGAACTACTATGGAGCACAGTTCAATGGGTCGCGCGACATTGATATTGCTGCTCAGGATGCAGTACTGCGCGAACAAGTATGTTGCTATCTCTTGTGCAAGGTTTTATATTGGTATTTTGTGTTCTTTTGTGATTTTTTGATATTGTGGAGAAATGTGGGTGCAGTTGTTGTTTTATTGATCTTTTGGACTGTGTTTTAAGTTCTTGCTCTCGTGTTTTTTTTTTATTAATTTTTTTTTGGTTAGTTTTCATTTGACTGTTCTGGTTGTTTTTGTTGATAGGAAATTGCGATGCAAAATGTCATAAGGAGTCAAAGGTGTGTGTTGATTTTCGTTTTCCTTTGATCAATTATGTGGAATGCTGTCTTGCAATGTTAGTGGTTTGAGATAGTGGGATTATTGAGTTAGATTTTTGTGTTGTGCCATTCCAGGGAGGGAAGAACTGCTGTTGCACCTAACGAGGACAATTTGGATATATTCTCGGAGCGGCGTGACCCCAACGCTTTGAAGGTGCGTGACAAAAACGTGATTGGGATTAATTTTATTTCTTTGAAGAGTAGGAGAGTTAGACGGAGCTTTTCTATTTTTTGTTTTTATTAAAAAAAAACAGGAGCATCTGTTGAAAATGGCCACAGAGCATAGGGCTGAAATGGCTGTGAAACGTGGGAAAGCTGCACGTGTGGAAGAAGGTCTGTAGTTTACTTAACCGAGTATTCTTATTTCTGTACCATTTTTCTTCCTTTTTCTCCAGTTCAATGATTAAGTGGCATTGGTGGCTTGATGTTGGTGGACTGATATTACTTTATACTTTTACCTTCATTTATGACTTGATTTCCTTGTATATTGCTCCATCTTCTTTTTCCATTTGGACTTCGGGACGTTCAACTCTTATGGACTTTTCTTTCTCATAATATTTCTTTTCCCATTTTGTTGGCTCTTTCATTTAATTGACATCTAACATCTTTATAAAAATGAAGAATAAATCATGCGTCTATCCCCTTCATACAAATATGAGAACCTTGAGTTGTTTTAAAGGATTTTGACAAGAGAAGTAAATAACTGTCTTATTTATGTATAATATTGTGTGTGTATATATTAGAGTAGCATTCATACCTCTGTAAAGGTATTCCATAATGGATCTTTACATAAGGGAGCATCAGGTAGGAGTAGAGGATGGGTGGTAAACAAATGGGTAGTATCTGTCAACTGGAAGGAGTATAAATTATGAAATAATAAATTCAGATCTAATGGGACAGCTAGAGCACTTCGAATTGATTAACCATAGGAAATCTTCAGGCAAACTCTGGGGGTCCTTTGATTGGAATTAGACATTACTTTACAAGTTTACCCTAATGTAGGGTGTGTTAAGGACAGTAAGTAAGCAGCTTACTTGAGTGCTTACCGAATAATTCCTTATCGTGTATGCACTTATTTATAAGTTGTTTTGATAAGTGAGAGGAAGCAGGGCTAAATTGTTTCCATGCTAGTTGTAAATGTTTTCATAAGCTAGAGTAGAGAGCTTATTGAGAGAAGCTAACATAGCAATTTTTTTTTGACGTCTTCCAAATACTTACCGAAGCACTTATGTCATAAGATAAGCCTGGAGGAACCTCCGAATTATCCATTTCTGCGGCAGCAACACCATCACTGGCATTTTCTCCAACGTCAACTTATATGTTTTCATCCGAAGCATCCAAAGTTGAGAACTCTTCACTTGTTGGTACGTTAAATGGTATAACATTATTGTAGAAAGATAAAGCAATTTCTTGATATGCATCGTCCCTCTTACTGTTCTTGAAAATGGCATTTATAGTAGTTTGACTGCCTAATCCTCTTTTCTTGAAAATCCATGATGGGTCATAACCCTCTTCATCTTGTTTTAGTCCCTTTCTAGCATCTTCTGAATTATTGACACTACTCCCCTTCAAATTCTTTGAATTTTTATTTTTTAATCAAATTTTATGCACCTGATAAACAACATCCAAAATATTTTTTTAGCATCTTTTGGAGCTGCTATACATGTCCAATATCATTTGAAAATCCTGCTAGATGTTGCTTCAATCGATAGATTCCTTCTGTTAATACTTTCTCACAATATTTACACTTCACAGTTCTTGATTTCCCACCAATTAAAACACACTGACTCCATGCAGGATCAGTCCTTACTCCTATGCCTTCTAGCAGTGTGACCCGAATCACCCCTATCTGATGCCAATTTTTTTTTCTTCAAATTCTAAACAGAACATAGAACACTCTCTTGCAAGAACAAAAAGAAGTAAAGACACAGCAGAACATAGCAAGTGTTGACGACTGTGAGGGCATCACTGGCAACAATATTTTCTGCTGACAAAGAAGCTAGTGTCGGCAGTAGCTACATTAGTCTTTAGATGGCTGTCAGTGATGACAGTTATGGTTGTTTGACAGCAGTGTTAGCATCAACATTATGGGTGCTATGAGTAGTCTCCTCCGTTTCTGATTTCCTATTAGAACAAAAGGGTCATATGAGTTGGCCTTTGTTATAGGGCGGGGTTTAGTCTTCTCTTTTAGCCAACAAATGGGTTGTTGAACCCTAGCTGCAAAAAATGGAAAGGATAGATGTGGCACATAATCCTGGGATTCGGCAAGCAGCCTTGTGATCCCACAGCCCGTGCCTCTCCTGATCTGCCATCTCTGTAAACTTTTAGCATCCCCTGAACTCGTGGGATAAGACGATTATGCAAGTTTGCTCGCGATTTTAACAATATTGCATCTGTGCTTGTTTTTTAGTGGTAATAGCTTGTCTGATTATGTTGGTATCATATGCATTCTGTATCAGGTAACACAGAAATAGGCAATGGATATGGTGTGCCCGGTGGAGGTGCCTATTATGATGGTCCAAAACTTAATACTGCTGCAGGTAAATATGATTACAAAGATTTTTTACTCGTGCTGTAGACTCTTGTACCTTAACTTTCTGGGTTCTGGAACTGTGAAGTAGGTAACAGTGCCATCAGTCAGTCTGATCCTATACTCGATAGATGTTCAGAACAGAAACCTGCAGCTAAAGAATTGCCTGAGTACCTCAAGCAGAGGTTGAGAGCTAGGGGTATTCTTGGAGACAATTCATGCACGGCAGATCTTGTAAGTATATTATCTTATATTATATTTGTTATCATATTCACTTTCCCCTCCTGCACCTTTTTTTTTTCTGATATTTTCCTACGTGGAAGTGAGGATGACAATCTATTTCTGAGGTTTCATCCACAACTTTGTGCTACAAATTTTATCTGAGGTTTGAAATACAATATATTCTATCTTTTAAGACTATTTTGCTGCAACTTTAACTTATAGTTTTTCATTCTCTTAAGTGTTTTACAGTAATTACTTTCAATCTGTTCAACTACCTTACATATTACCCGTTACTGAGTTTCAGAAAGCCACTGCAGATGAAGTTACGGAATATCGAAAGTTGCCACCAGGATGGGTGTGTATCACTATCACTTGTTATAAAGTTTGCTTTTGAATTTCGGTGGGAAATTTCTTGGCATATGCCTTTAGCTATTTAAATCTCTTAATCAGTCCTGGACCTTCTTAAATCAAATCATAATTTCTACAAAAAAGAAGATAGAATTAAGATTTTGGTGTCACAGCTGCTGCATATTTAATCATCACCACAATCCTGGGTATATCATTTTTCAAAAACAAAGGGAAGGTAAATGAAATCTTGTTGACAGAAAGTTTTGGCATGTGAATTATGGAAGAATGAAACCTTAGGCTTGACAAACAAGAAACAACATATTAGATGTTGGGCTTTACTCTGTACCCAGCTAATGAAATAATTTTTGTTCCAAAGTAGAAGTTTGTGAGTAGGTTTGGAGGCACATAATTAATGATATCTTATTGTGCATTATAAGTTCGGATAATGAACATATCTTAATTTTATCAATACCTTACTACTACTAGAATTTTCCATGTAGGTTGAGGCAAAAGATCCTGGAAGTGGGGCATGTTATTATTATAATGAAAGTACAGGAAAGAGTCAATGGGAAAAGCCTCAAGAATCATACTTAACTGAGCAATCACCATCATCTTCACATCTCCCAGAAAATTGGGTGGAGTCATTGGATGAAACAACAGGTTCAGCTATAATTATCATGTAGTTGCATCTGGTCTCTGAGTTTTATTTATTGTATTCTAAGGAGACTCCAACCTATCTGTTAAATGTTTTTATTGAAATCTCTCTAGCCATCAGTAACTAACGATAACCTCCTTTGATAATAGAAACTAGTTTAACCCAATATATTTACGAAACAATAACCCCCAAAGGAATACATTCACCTTGTCCTCAAGCTAAATTTAGTAGGAGAAAGCAATGTTCAATAGGACCCACTGACCTTCAATGCCATGGTAAGGACCTTGATAAGAAACTAGGGAGAGAATCACAACACTGGAGTTATCTTAGGAGTCTCACATTGAGTAAAATGAACTATTTGATCAAGGTAAATTTAGTAGGAGAAAGCAATGCTCAATGGGATCCACTGACCTTCTTCAATGCCATGGTAAGGACCTTGATAAGAAACTAGGGAGAGAATCACAACACTGGAGTTATCTTAGGAGTCTTACATTGAGTAAAATGAAGTATTTGATGTAGTATGCCTCGAGGCTCTCCCACCCAATGGACTAGCATTTTTGGGTTGGACTCTCCTCCTCAAGGCTTAAATACTATCAAATAGTTGATTCTACTCAATGTAGGACTCCTAACAAGTTAGTTGTTGAAGTTGGAAAGGCCTTTGTTGTTGTTGTTGCCGCTAGAAAACAAACAGTAAAACCTCTAGCACCCGTGTTGTCTCCAACACATGATTTCAGTTTAATGTCTCTCTTTCTTATAGTTTAACAATTTTTACATCTGAGTTTTCATTTGTTCTTTCCTTTTGCATGTTTTTATTTTGTCAACTAGTAAATGTATTTGATTCGTCATTCATTGGTGTTTGATATAAACATGACAAATTTTCATAGTGACCATGTATATATCTACCAGGTTCAATATATACTTTAGATTCTTGGTAGAGAAATAAGACGTTTAAACACTTGCGAAGTGACTTTTAGAGTGGTTTGTTTGTTGGACCAGTTTTTCATATACTTGATTGTACTTGTACAATTCATTTTTCTTATCTTTTTTGTCATTGTTTTGAGAATTTTATAATTTTTCTTATCAATTATTTCTTTGTATTTCAGGTCATAAGTATTATTACAATACAAAAACTCATATATCACAATGGGAGAGGCCTAATTTAGCTCACGAAGTTTCTGTTGGTGATGGATATGACCAATCATCTAATTTACCACGGTGCATGGGATGTGGTGGGTGGGGTGTTGGCCTTGTTCAAGCATGGGGTTACTGCAATCACTGTACAAGGTAGAGAGTTGCTACTGTTAATGAATACTGAGGTCTTAGTTTGTGTTTGGTTCATCTTATTTTTGGAAAATGGTTACTCTTAAGCGATTGTTTCTTTAGAAATAATCCCAACCAAGCTTGCTAATGGGGAGTTCTTATTACTATAATTACATAAACAAGGCACAAAGCTTTTAGAATGAAGAATATGAAGATTATTATTAGGAATGTTTTTATTTATTACCATATCATATCATTATCATTACCGAATACCACTTCTCTTCTATTTATTGTATTGATTTTATTTCTTATACTTAAACATAGTATCTAGGGCTTCTAGCAGTGTGACCCGAATCACCCCTATCTGATGCCAATTTTTTTTTCTTCAAATTCTAAACAGAACATAGAACACTCTCTTGCAAGAACAAAAAGAAGTAAAGACACAGCAGAACATAGCAAGTGTTGACGACTGTGAGGGCATCACTGGCAACAATATTTTCTGCTGACAAAGAAGCTAGTGTCGGCAGTAGCTACATTAGTCTTTAGATGGCTGTCAGTGATGACAGTTATGGTTGTTTGACAGCAGTGTTAGCATCAACATTATGGGTGCTATGAGTAGTCTCCTCCGTTTCTGATTTCCTATTAGAACAAAAGGGTCATATGAGTTGGCCTTTGTTATAGGGCGGGGTTTAGTCTTCTCTTTTAGCCAACAAATGGGTTGTTGAACCCTAGCTGCAAAAAATGGAAAGGATAGATGTGGCACATAATCCTGGGATTCGGCAAGCAGCCTTGTGATCCCACAGCCCGTGCCTCTCCTGATCTGCCATCTCTGTAAACTTTTAGCATCCCCTGAACTCGTGGGATAAGACGATTATGCAAGTTTGCTCGCGATCTTAACAATATTGCATCTGTGCTTGTTTTTTAGTGGTAATAGCTTGTCTGATTATGTTGGTATCATATGCATTCTGTATCAGGTAACACAGAAATAGGCAATGGATATGGTGTGCCCGGTGGAGGTGCCTATTATGATGGTCCAAAACTTAATACTGCTGCAGGTAAATATGATTACAAAGATTTTTTACTCGTGCTGTAGACTCTTGTACCTTAACTTTCTGGGTTCTGGAACTGTGAAGTAGGTAACAGTGCCATCAGTCAGTCTGATCCTATACTCGATAGATGTTCAGAACAGAAACCTGCAGCTAAAGAATTGCCTGAGTACCTCAAGCAGAGGTTGAGAGCTAGGGGTATTCTTGGAGACAATTCATGCACGGCAGATCTTGTAAGTATATTATCTTATATTATATTTGTTATCATATTCACTTTCCCCTCCTGCACCTTTTTTTTTTCTGATATTTTCCTACGTGTTTCACGCTTTCATTCTACGCAAACCGACTCTGTTTTCATGAACCCTCGTTCATGCTCCTTACGAAATCGATGTTGTGATTTCACCATTTTTTTGGTGTGTTAAGCAGAGGAAATTCAGAAGGCATGGAAAATTCCCAAGATGAACCACTTCCTCCAGGTGTTCCTTCGTGGCCAAACTATGCCCTTGCCGCTCCTTCACCTCAATACCCTTTTCCTCCCAACGCCCCCAACAACCTTCAACATGAAATTAACCCTTCCAATTCTAATCTTACTGTGAACACTAGAGTGGATGATGCCACAGTTACAGTTTCAAATAACATCGCTTCGAACTACTATGGAGCACAGTTCAATGGGTCGCGCGACATTGATATTGCTGCTCAGGATGCAGTACTGCGCGAACAAGTATGTTGCTATCTCTTGTGCAAGGTTTTATATTGGTATTTTGTGTTCTTTTGTGATTTTTTGATATTGTGGAGAAATGTGGGTGCAGTTGTTGTTTTATTGATCTTTTGGACTGTGTTTTAAGTTCTTGCTCTCGTGTTTTTTTTTTATTAATTTTTTTTTGGTTAGTTTTCATTTGACTGTTCTGGTTGTTTTTGTTGATAGGAAATTGCGATGCAAAATGTCATAAGGAGTCAAAGGTGTGTGTTGATTTTCGTTTTCCTTTGATCAATTATGTGGAATGCTGTCTTGCAATGTTAGTGGTTTGAGATAGTGGGATTATTGAGTTAGATTTTTGTGTTGTGCCATTCCAGGGAGGGAAGAACTGCTGTTGCACCTAACGAGGACAATTTGGATATATTCTCGGAGCGGCGTGACCCCAACGCTTTGAAGGTGCGTGACAAAAACGTGATTGGGATTAATTTTATTTCTTTGAAGAGTAGGAGAGTTAGACGGAGCTTTTCTATTTTTTGTTTTTATTAAAAAAAAACAGGAGCATCTGTTGAAAATGGCCACAGAGCATAGGGCTGAAATGGCTGTGAAACGTGGGAAAGCTGCACGTGTGGAAGAAGGTCTGTAGTTTACTTAACCGAGTATTCTTATTTCTGTACCATTTTTCTTCCTTTTTCTCCAGTTCAATGATTAAGTGGCATTGGTGGCTTGATGTTGGTGGACTGATATTACTTTATACTTTTACCTTCATTTATGACTTGATTTCCTTGTATATTGCTCCATCTTCTTTTTCCATTTGGACTTCGGGACGTTCAACTCTTATGGACTTTTCTTTCTCATAATATTTCTTTTCCCATTTTGTTGGCTCTTTCATTTAATTGACATCTAACATCTTTATAAAAATGAAGAATAAATCATGCGTCTATCCCCTTCATACAAATATGAGAACCTTGAGTTGTTTTAAAGGATTTTGACAAGAGAAGTAAATAACTGTCTTATTTATGTATAATATTGTGTGTGTATATATTAGAGTAGCATTCATACCTCTGTAAAGGTATTCCATAATGGATCTTTACATAAGGGAGCATCAGGTAGGAGTAGAGGATGGGTGGTAAACAAATGGGTAGTATCTGTCAACTGGAAGGAGTATAAATTATGAAATAATAAATTCAGATCTAATGGGACAGCTAGAGCACTTCGAATTGATTAACCACAGGAAATCTTCAGGCAAACTCTGGGGGTCCTTTGATTGGAATTAGACATTACTTTACAAGTTTACCCTAATGTAGGGTGTGTTAAGGACAGTAAGTAAGCAGCTTACTTGAGTGCTTACCGAATAATTCCTTATCGTGTATGCACTTATTTATAAGTTGTTTAGATAAGTGAGAGGAAGCAGGGCTAAATTGTTTCCATGCAAGTTGTAAATGTTTTCATAAGCTAGAGTAGAGAGCTTATTGAGAGAAGCTAACATAGCAATTTTTTTTTGACGTCTTCCAAATACTTACCGAAGCACTTATGTCATAAGATAAGCCTGGAGGAACCTCCGAATTATCCATTTCTGCGGCAGCAACACCATCACTGGCATTTTCTCCAACGTCAACTTATATGTTTTCATCCGAAGCATCCAAAGTTGAGAACTCTTCACTTGTTGGTACGTTAAATGGTATAACATTATTGTAGAAAGATAAAGCAATTTCTTGATATGCATCGTCCCTCTTACTGTTCTTGAAAATGGCATTTATAGTAGTTTGACTGCCTAATCCTCTTTTCTTGAAAATCCATGATGGGTCATAACCCTCTTCATCTTGTTTTAGTCCCTTTCTAGCATCTTCTGAATTATTGACACTACTCCCCTTCAAATTCTTTGAATTTTTATTTTTTAATCAAATTTTATGCACCTGATAAACAACATCCAAAATATTTTTTTAGCATCTTTTGGAGCTGCTATACATGTCCAATATCATTTGAAAATCCTGCTAGATGTTGCTTCAATCGATAGATTCCTTCTGTTAATACTTTCTCACAATATTTACACTTCACAGTTCTTGATTTCCCACCAATTAAAACACACTGACTCCATGCAGGATCAGTCCTTACTCCTATGCCTTCTAGCAGTGTGACCCGAATCACCCCTATCTGATGCCAATTTTTTTTTCTTCAAATTCTAAACAGAACATAGAACACTCTCTTGCAAGAACAAAAAGAAGTAAAGACACAGCAGAACATAGCAAGTGTTGACGACTGTGAGGGCATCACTGGCAACAATATTTTCTGCTGACAAAGAAGCTAGTGTCGGCAGTAGCTACATTAGTCTTTAGATGGCTGTCAGTGATGACAGTTATGGTTGTTTGACAGCAGTGTTAGCATCAACATTATGGGTGCTATGAGTAGTCTCCTCCGTTTCTGATTTCCTATTAGAACAAAAGGGTCATATGAGTTGGCCTTTGTTATAGGGCGGGGTTTAGTCTTCTCTTTTAGCCAACAAATGGGTTGTTGAACCCTAGCTGCAAAAAATGGAAAGGATAGATGTGGCACATAATCCTGGGATTCGGCAAGCAGCCTTGTGATCCCACAGCCCGTGCCTCTCCTGATCTGCCATCTCTGTAAACTTTTAGCATCCCCTGAACTCGTGGGATAAGACGATTATGCAAGTTTGCTCGCGATCTTAACAATATTGCATCTGTGCTTGTTTTTTAGTGGTAATAGCTTGTCTGATTATGTTGGTATCATATGCATTCTGTATCAGGTAACACAGAAATAGGCAATGGATATGGTGTGCCCGGTGGAGGTGCCTATTATGATGGTCCAAAACTTAATACTGCTGCAGGTAAATATGATTACAAAGATTTTTTACTCGTGCTGTAGACTCTTGTACCTTAACTTTCTGGGTTCTGGAACTGTGAAGTAGGTAACAGTGCCATCAGTCAGTCTGATCCTATACTCGATAGATGTTCAGAACAGAAACCTGCAGCTAAAGAATTGCCTGAGTACCTCAAGCAGAGGTTGAGAGCTAGGGGTATTCTTGGAGACAATTCATGCACGGCAGATCTTGTAAGTATATTATCTTATATTATATTTGTTATCATATTCACTTTCCCCTCCTGCACCTTTTTTTTTTCTGATATTTTCCTACGTGGAAGTGAGGATGACAATCTATTTCTGAGGTTTCATCCACAACTTTGTGCTACAAATTTTATCTGAGGTTTGAAATACAATATATTCTATCTTTTAAGACTATTTTGCTGCAACTTTAACTTATAGTTTTTCATTCTCTTAAGTGTTTTACAGTAATTACTTTCAATCTGTTCAACTACCTTACATATTACCCGTTACTGAGTTTCAGAAAGCCACCGCAGATGAAGTTACGGAATATCGAAAGTTGCCACCAGGATGGGTGTGTATCACTATCACTTGTTATAAAGTTTGCTTTTGAATTTCGGTGGGAAATTTCTTGGCATATGCCTTTAGCTATTTAAATCTCTTAATCAGTCCTGGACCTTCTTAAATCAAATCATAATTTCTACAAAAAAGAAGATAGAATTAAGATTTTGGTGTCACAGCTGCTGCATATTTAATCATCACCACAATCCTGGGTATATCATTTTTCAAAAACAAAGGGAAGGTAAATGAAATCTTGTTGACAGAAAGTTTTGGCATGTGAATTATGGAAGAATGAAACCTTAGGCTTGACAAACAAGAAACAACATATTAGATGTTGGGCTTTACTCTGTACCCAGCTAATGAAATAATTTTTGTTCCAAAGTAGAAGTTTGTGAGTAGGTTTGGAGGCACATAATTAATGATATCTTATTGTGCATTATAAGTTCGGATAATGAACATATCTTAATTTTATCAATACCTTACTACTACTAGAATTTTCCATGTAGGTTGAGGCAAAAGATCCTGGAAGTGGGGCATGTTATTATTATAATGAAAGTACAGGAAAGAGTCAATGGGAAAAGCCTCAAGAATCATACTTAACTGAGCAATCACCATCATCTTCACATCTCCCAGAAAATTGGGTGGAGTCATTGGATGAAACAACAGGTTCAGCTATAATTATCATGTAGTTGCATCTGGTCTCTGAGTTTTATTTATTGTATTCTAAGGAGACTCCAACCTATCTGTTAAATGTTTTTATTGAAATCTCTCTAGCCATCAGTAACTAACGATAACCTCCTTTGATAATAGAAACTAGTTTAACCCAATATATTTACGAAACAATAACCCCCAAAGGAATACATTCACCTTGTCCTCAAGCTAAATTTAGTAGGAGAAAGCAATGTTCAATAGGACCCACTGACCTTCAATGCCATGGTAAGGACCTTGATAAGAAACTAGGGAGAGAATCACAACACTGGAGTTATCTTAGGAGTCTCACATTGAGTAAAATGAACTATTTGATCAAGGTAAATTTAGTAGGAGAAAGCAATGCTCAATGGGATCCACTGACCTTCTTCAATGCCATGGTAAGGACCTTGATAAGAAACTAGGGAGAGAATCACAACACTGGAGTTATCTTAGGAGTCTTACATTGAGTAAAATGAAGTATTTGATGTAGTATGCCTCGAGGCTCTCCCACCCAATGGACTAGCATTTTTGGGTTGGACTCTCCTCCTCAAGGCTTAAATACTATCAAATAGTTGATTCTACTCAATGTAGGACTCCTAACAAGTTAGTTGTTGAAGTTGGAAAGGCCTTTGTTGTTGTTGTTGCCGCTAGAAAACAAACAGTAAAACCTCTAGCACCCGTGTTGTCTCCAACACATGATTTCAGTTTAATGTCTCTCTTTCTTATAGTTTAACAATTTTTACATCTGAGTTTTCATTTGTTCTTTCCTTTTGCATGTTTTTATTTTGTCAACTAGTAAATGTATTTGATTCGTCATTCATTGGTGTTTGATATAAACATGACAAATTTTCATAGTGACCATGTATATATCTACCAGGTTCAATATATACTTTAGATTCTTGGTAGAGAAATAAGACGTTTAAACACTTGCGAAGTGACTTTTAGAGTGGTTTGTTTGTTGGACCAGTTTTTCATATACTTGATTGTACTTGTACAATTCATTTTTCTTATCTTTTTTGTCATTGTTTTGAGAATTTTATAATTTTTCTTATCAATTATTTCTTTGTATTTCAGGTCATAAGTATTATTACAATACAAAAACTCATATATCACAATGGGAGAGGCCTAATTTAGCTCACGAAGTTTCTGTTGGTGATGGATATGACCAATCATCTAATTTACCACGGTGCATGGGATGTGGTGGGTGGGGTGTTGGCCTTGTTCAAGCATGGGGTTACTGCAATCACTGTACAAGGTAGAGAGTTGCTACTGTTAATGAATACTGAGGTCTTAGTTTGTGTTTGGTTCATCTTATTTTTGGAAAATGGTTACTCTTAAGCGATTGTTTCTTTAGAAATAATCCCAACCAAGCTTGCTAATGGGGAGTTCTTATTACTATAATTACATAAACAAGGCACAAAGCTTTTAGAATGAAGAATATGAAGATTATTATTAGGAATGTTTTTATTTATTACCATATCATATCATTATCATTACCGAATACCACTTCTCTTCTATTTATTGTATTGATTTTATTTCTTATACTTAAACATAGTATCTAGGGCTTCTTGAAAGCCATGTTGCTGTTTAACGTAGTATCTAGATGTAGACCTGGTGTACCCATTGTGTTTGGTGAAGAGCAACATGTTTGCGTCTCTCAAGCCAATAAAGTACTTGCTTTTGACAAGACCTGATACTTATAAAATTATATTGTATACTTTGTTATGATTTAAGCACATAATCAAAACCAAAGTAAAGGGTCTGTTGAACTTTCACCTAACAATAGTGATCTTGATGAGAAAATCTACATGGAGGAACCTCCTAGATATGCCAACATCATAGATCCCTGTCTGGCCTCAAGCAATCCTCGGTTTGGAATGGTACAAAGTGATGTTGATAATTCGGTTTTATCATCATTCTTTCCAGGAATGTATCTATCTCATTTTGTATGTCAACTACATTGTTATCACAAGAGAAAATGAGGATGTTTCTGCATTATTTTCAGCTTATTGATGATTATAGTCCTGTAATGACAGGGTATCATTCATTTTGACACACTAAATCAAAGGGAATTGAGGGAAAAATTAAAGTTTCCTGAAAACCAAAATTAGTTAACAAGATTTGGTGGGGGACATGCTTTAGGCTTTTATATACTAATTCCAAGCAACGGGGCTACACATACCCAAACCTTTTTTCACTGCTGTAGATGAAATTGTTCAAAGGCTTAACCAAGTACTAGTTTTGTCATTTTAAGGCAAAACATTATTCCTTTCTGATCTTTCCTTACAACACCATTTGTGACAGAAAGATGCTTGTCTTGCTCACTTGTAATTTGCTAGTTCATCTGTATCATACGTTGAATTGTAATAGGAGGTCCCTGTAAATTTGCTATACTAGTAAGTAAATAAATCTACAAAAATAAAATCAGAACAACAGATCCCACTCACTGCAGTGAAAATGAAATCCACAAAATTAATGTTCATTTTTTTCTTCATGTATGACTATATACATCATCTTCTTACCTTTTTTTTTTCCAAATTAGCAGCATAGGCTTATCTCTAATATTTTATTTGGTTTTATTATCAAAAAATTAAAAAATGCAGGGTTCTGAATCTTCCTCAATGTCAGTATTTGTTCTCAAGTTTGAACAATCAGCAAAGCAGTGCTGCACATCCCTCTCAAATTTCAGACAATAAGTCTAACAAAGAGAGGTTAGTTGCATGAAGATCTGCAGTGCTATTAATTTTTTAACAAAAACTCATTGTTGTTCTGTTGATGTTATCTAGCCCATTTTGTTGCTGTGCACCCTTGAGACAGACCTCTATAATAATATATAATTAAATTTCATCTTTCACTGTCCTTTTAGATTTTCTCTTTTTCTACACTATGCTTTCATGAAAAATCTACAGTATGCTTAGATTAAAAGCTTGTATAGCAAATACACTTTCTTTTAGGTTCTCTTCCATATTGTGATAATACTTCCTAGAGTTCAACAGTGGAAGGTGCATTCTGAAGAAATGATTGATGAAAATTAAGGCGAATGAACTTTTGAAAAGAAAATGATAGGAACCAGTATTAGTAAATAAAAGCAATATAATTGCAGANTAACCCAATATATTTACGAAACAATAACCCCCAAAGGAATACATTCACCTTGTCCTCAAGCTAAATTTAGTAGGAGAAAGCAATGTTCAATAGGACCCACTGACCTTCAATGCCATGGTAAGGACCTTGATAAGAAACTAGGGAGAGAATCACAACACTGGAGTTATCTTAGGAGTCTCACATTGAGTAAAATGAACTATTTGATCAAGGTAAATTTAGTAGGAGAAAGCAATGCTCAATGGGATCCACTGACCTTCTTCAATGCCATGGTAAGGACCTTGATAAGAAACTAGGGAGAGAATCACAACACTGGAGTTATCTTAGGAGTCTTACATTGAGTAAAATGAAGTATTTGATGTAGTATGCCTCGAGGCTCTCCCACCCAATGGACTAGCATTTTTGGGTTGGACTCTCCTCCTCAAGGCTTAAATACTATCAAATAGTTGATTCTACTCAATGTAGGACTCCTAACAAGTTAGTTGTTGAAGTTGGAAAGGCCTTTGTTGTTGTTTTTGCCGCTAGAAAACAAACAGTAAAACCTCTAGCACCCGTGTTGTCTCCAACACATGATTTCAGTTTAATGTCTCTCTTTCTTATAGTTTAACAATTTTTACATCTGAGTTTTCATTTGTTCTTTCCTTTTGCATGTTTTTATTTTGTCAACTAGTAAATGTATTTGATTCGTCATTCATTGGTGTTTGATATAAACATGACAAATTTTCATAGTGACCATGTATATATCTACCAGGTTTAATATATACTTTAGATTCTTGGTAGAGAAATATGACGTTTAAACACTTGCGAAGTGACTTTTAGAGTGGTTTGTTTGTTGGACCAGTTTTTCATATACTTGATTGTACTTGTACAATTCATTTTTCTTATCTTTTTTGTCATTGTTTTGAGAATTTTATAATTTTTCTTATCAATTATTTCTTTGTATTTCAGGTCATAAGTATTATTACAATACAAAAACTCATATATCACAATGGGAGAGGCCTAATTTAGCTCACGAAGTTTCTGTTGGTGATGGATATGACCAATCATCTAATTTACCACGGTGCATGGGATGTGGTGGGTGGGGTGTTGGCCTTGTTCAAGCATGGGGTTACTGCAATCACTGTACAAGGTAGAGAGTTGCTACTGTTAATGAATACTGAGGTCTTAGTTTGTGTTTGGTTCATCTTATTTTTGGAAAATGGTTACTCTTAAGCGATTGTTTCTTTAGAAATAATCCCAACCAAGCTTGCTAATGGGGAGTTCTTATTACTATAATTACATAAACAAGGCACAAAGCTTTTAGAATGAAGAATATGAAGATTATTATTAGGAATGTTTTTATTTATTACCATATCATATCATTATCATTACCGAATACCACTTCTCTTCTATTTATTGTATTGATTTTATTTCTTATACTTAAACATAGTATCTAGGGCTTCTTGAAAGCCATGTTGCTGTTTAACGTAGTATCTAGATGTAGACCTGGTGTACCCATTGTGTTTGGTGAAGAGCAACATGTTTGCGTCTCTCAAGCCAATAAAGTACTTGCTTTTGACAAGACCTGATACTTATAAAATTATATTGTATACTTTGTTATGATTTAAGCACATAATCAAAACCAAAGTAAAGGGTCTGTTGAACTTTCACCTAACAATAGTGATCTTGATGAGAAAATCTACATGGAGGAACCTCCTAGATATGCCAACATCATAGATCCCTGTCTGGCCTCAAGCAATCCTCGGTTTGGAATGGTACAAAGTGATGTTGATAATTCGGTTTTATCATCATTCTTTCCAGGAATGTACCTATCTCATTTTGTATGTCAACTACATTGTTATCACAAGAGAAAATGAGGATGTTTCTGCATTATTTTCAGCTTATTGATGATTATAGTCCTGTAATGACAGGGTATCATTCATTTTGACACACTAAATCAAAGGGAATTGAGGGAAAAATTAAAGTTTCCTGAAAACCAAAATTAGTTAACAAGATTTGGTGGGGGACATGCTTTAGGCTTTTATATACTAATTCCAAGCAACGGGGCTACACATACCCAAACCTTTTTTCACTGCTGTAGATGAAATTGTTCAAAGGCTTNAAGCAGAGGTTGAGAGCTAGGGGTATTCTTGGAGACAATTCATGCACGGCAGATCTTGTAAGTATATTATCTTATATTATATTTGTTATCATATTCACTTTCCCCTCCTGCACCTTTTTTTTTTCTGATATTTTCCTACGTGGAAGTGAGGATGACAATCTATTTCTGAGGTTTCATCCACAACTTTGTGCTACAAATTTTATCTGAGGTTTGAAATACAATATATTCTATCTTTTAAGACTATTTTGCTGCAACTTTAACTTATAGTTTTTCATTCTCTTAAGTGTTTTACAGTAATTACTTTCAATCTGTTCAACTACCTTACATATTACCCGTTACTGAGTTTCAGAAAGCCACCGCAGATGAAGTTACGGAATATCGAAAGTTGCCACCAGGATGGGTGTGTATCACTATCACTTGTTATAAAGTTTGCTTTTGAATTTCGGTGGGAAATTTCTTGGCATATGCCTTTAGCTATTTAAATCTCTTAATCAGTCCTGGACCTTCTTAAATCAAATCATAATTTCTACAAAAAAGAAGATAGAATTAAGATTTTGGTGTCACAGCTGCTGCATATTTAATCATCACCACAATCCTGGGTATATCATTTTTCAAAAACAAAGGGAAGGTAAATGAAATCTTGTTGACAGAAAGTTTTGGCATGTGAATTATGGAAGAATGAAACCTTAGGCTTGACAAACAAGAAACAACATATTAGATGTTGGGCTTTACTCTGTACCCAGCTAATGAAATAATTTTTGTTCCAAAGTAGAAGTTTGTGAGTAGGTTTGGAGGCACATAATTAATGATATCTTATTGTGCATTATAAGTTCGGATAATGAACATATCTTAATTTTATCAATACCTTACTACTACTAGAATTTTCCATGTAGGTTGAGGCAAAAGATCCTGGAAGTGGGGCATGTTATTATTATAATGAAAGTACAGGAAAGAGTCAATGGGAAAAGCCTCAAGAATCATACTTAACTGAGCAATCACCATCATCTTCACATCTCCCAGAAAATTGGGTGGAGTCATTGGATGAAACAACAGGTTCAGCTATAATTATCATGTAGTTGCATCTGGTCTCTGAGTTTTATTTATTGTATTCTAAGGAGACTCCAACCTATCTGTTAAATGTTTTTATTGAAATCTCTCTAGCCATCAGTAACTAACGATAACCTCCTTTGATAATAGAAACTAGTTTAACCCAATATATTTACGAAACAATAACCCCCAAAGGAATACATTCACCTTGTCCTCAAGCTAAATTTAGTAGGAGAAAGCAATGTTCAATAGGACCCACTGACCTTCAATGCCATGGTAAGGACCTTGATAAGAAACTAGGGAGAGAATCACAACACTGGAGTTATCTTAGGAGTCTCACATTGAGTAAAATGAACTATTTGATCAAGGTAAATTTAGTAGGAGAAAGCAATGCTCAATGGGATCCACTGACCTTCTTCAATGCCATGGTAAGGACCTTGATAAGAAACTAGGGAGAGAATCACAACACTGGAGTTATCTTAGGAGTCTTACATTGAGTAAAATGAAGTATTTGATGTAGTATGCCTCGAGGCTCTCCCACCCAATGGACTAGCATTTTTGGGTTGGACTCTCCTCCTCAAGGCTTAAATACTATCAAATAGTTGATTCTACTCAATGTAGGACTCCTAACAAGTTAGTTGTTGAAGTTGGAAAGGCCTTTGTTGTTGTTGTTGCCGCTAGAAAACAAACAGTAAAACCTCTAGCACCCGTGTTGTCTCCAACACATGATTTCAGTTTAATGTCTCTCTTTCTTATAGTTTAACAATTTTTACATCTGAGTTTTCATTTGTTCTTTCCTTTTGCATGTTTTTATTTTGTCAACTAGTAAATGTATTTGATTCGTCATTCATTGGTGTTTGATATAAACATGACAAATTTTCATAGTGACCATGTATATATCTACCAGGTTCAATATATACTTTAGATTCTTGGTAGAGAAATAAGACGTTTAAACACTTGCGAAGTGACTTTTAGAGTGGTTTGTTTGTTGGACCAGTTTTTCATATACTTGATTGTACTTGTACAATTCATTTTTCTTATCTTTTTTGTCATTGTTTTGAGAATTTTATAATTTTTCTTATCAATTATTTCTTTGTATTTCAGGTCATAAGTATTATTACAATACAAAAACTCATATATCACAATGGGAGAGGCCTAATTTAGCTCACGAAGTTTCTGTTGGTGATGGATATGACCAATCATCTAATTTACCACGGTGCATGGGATGTGGTGGGTGGGGTGTTGGCCTTGTTCAAGCATGGGGTTACTGCAATCACTGTACAAGGTAGAGAGTTGCTACTGTTAATGAATACTGAGGTCTTAGTTTGTGTTTGGTTCATCTTATTTTTGGAAAATGGTTACTCTTAAGCGATTGTTTCTTTAGAAATAATCCCAACCAAGCTTGCTAATGGGGAGTTCTTATTACTATAATTACATAAACAAGGCACAAAGCTTTTAGAATGAAGAATATGAAGATTATTATTAGGAATGTTTTTATTTATTACCATATCATATCATTATCATTACCGAATACCACTTCTCTTCTATTTATTGTATTGATTTTATTTCTTATACTTAAACATAGTATCTAGGGCTTCTTGAAAGCCATGTTGCTGTTTAACGTAGTATCTAGATGTAGACCTGGTGTACCCATTGTGTTTGGTGAAGAGCAACATGTTTGCGTCTCTCAAGCCAATAAAGTACTTGCTTTTGACAAGACCTGATACTTATAAAATTATATTGTATACTTTGTTATGATTTAAGCACATAATCAAAACCAAAGTAAAGGGTCTGTTGAACTTTCACCTAACAATAGTGATCTTGATGAGAAAATCTACATGGAGGAACCTCCTAGATATGCCAACATCATAGATCCCTGTCTGGCCTCAAGCAATCCTCGGTTTGGAATGGTACAAAGTGATGTTGATAATTCGGTTTTATCATCATTCTTTCCAGGAATGTACCTATCTCATTTTGTATGTCAACTACATTGTTATCACAAGAGAAAATGAGGATGTTTCTGCATTATTTTCAGCTTATTGATGATTATAGTCCTGTAATGACAGGGTATCATTCATTTTGACACACTAAATCAAAGGGAATTGAGGGAAAAATTAAAGTTTCCTGAAAACCAAAATTAGTTAACAAGATTTGGTGGGGGACATGCTTTAGGCTTTTATATACTAATTCCAAGCAACGGGGCTACACATACCCAAACCTTTTTTCACTGCTGTAGATGAAATTGTTCAAAGGCTTAACCAAGTACTAGTTTTGTCATTTTAAGGCAAAACATTATTCCTTTCTGATCTTTCCTTACAACACCATTTGTGACAGAAAGATGCTTGTCTTGCTCACTTGTAATTTGCTAGTTCATCTGTATCATACGTTGAATTGTAATAGGAGGTCCCTGTAAATTTGCTATACTAGTAAGTAAATAAATCTACAAAAATAAAATCAGAACAACAGATCCCACTCACTGCAGTGAAAATGAAATCCACAAAATTAATGTTCATTTTTTTCTTCATGTATGACTATATACATCATCTTCTTACCTTTTTTTTTTCCAAATTAGCAGCATAGGCTTATCTCTAATATTTTATTTGGTTTTATTATCAAAAAATTAAAAAATGCAGGGTTCTGAATCTTCCTCAATGTCAGTATTTGTTCTCAAGTTTGAACAATCAGCAAAGCAGTGCTGCACATCCCTCTCAAATTTCAGACAATAAGTCTAACAAAGAGAGGTTAGTTGCATGAAGATCTGCAGTGCTATTAATTTTTTAACAAAAACTCATTGTTGTTCTGTTGATGTTATCTAGCCCATTTTGTTGCTGTGCACCCTTGAGACAGACCTCTATAATAATATATAATTAAATTTCATCTTTCACTGTCCTTTTAGATTTTCTCTTTTTCTACACTATGCTTTCATGAAAAATCTACAGTATGCTTAGATTAAAAGCTTGTATAGCAAATACACTTTCTTTTAGGTTCTCTTCCATATTGTGATAATACTTCCTAGAGTTCAACAGTGGAAGGTGCATTCTGAAGAAATGATTGATGAAAATTAAGGCGAATGAACTTTTGAAAAGAAAATGATAGGAACCAGTATTAGTAAATAAAAGCAATATAATTGCAGAGGTATAGCTCTCATTACAATAGATAACACAAGAATGTAAATGCAGAATGATAGAAAATGAAACCTATCAAACGTGAAGAGCCTACTCTGCCCTGTGACCTCTACCACCCTAGATATTCCCCAAACTGCTAAATGCTCAATAATCATACAGTCCATTTTGTTGTTGGGCCGGGAGTTGTGGGCTGGGTTGCTATCATCTCATTGAGTTATCTCACGGTTTCTCTTTACTGGTGCCATAGAGGATTGTAATGATTAGAATTTGTTTCTCCAGGACCAGTTCGAAACCTCCATTTCACAAAGGAAGCAGAAAAGGGGGAAAGAAACGTGCTCATGCAGAGGATGATGAGTTGGATCCCATGGACCCTAGCTCCTATTCTGATGCTCCTCGTGGTGGCTGGTATGTGTATTGTGTGTGCTACACACATATAATAGAAAAGCTCGATTAAATGATTAGTAATTGTAAATGTATGATTACTTTCAGGGTCGTGGGTCTGAAAGGTGTGCAGCCACGAGCAGCTGACACAACAGCAACAGTATGTACATTACTTCTTTTTATTTATTCTTTTTATTTTCAGAAATTCTTTTGTTCCTATCTTTTCCTTAATTGCTTTTCTTATTGTTAAATTTGATGTCTATTTTTTTCAATGCATTTTTAGCCAAACAAATGTTTTAACCTCATTTATGTGGATGCTTTAATTCTCAGAAGAATTTTTTAACTGAATGAAGTTATCCGTGAACACGTGGCGTGTGTAAACAATAAAAAAGTAGGTGAAATTGAGTAATGAAAGATTACGGGTAGAGTTGGTGGAAATTGAGCTTCTATTTGATGCCAATATAGTCTCTAGAGTTGGTAGTATCAAGTGCCAGTGGGTAGCAGTGATGCCTGTTATGCAGAAACTGAGAAAAGTAGAATGTCTGCCATAATAATATTTCTGGTTTCGGTTTCCTGACATTCCTGAACTGAACATGATCTATAAGTTCTTGATCAATTTCAGGGTCCTCTCTTTCAACAACGACCATATCCATCTCCTGGAGCTGTTTTGCGGAAGAATGCTGAAATTGCTTCTCAGAAGAAGAAACCAAATTCACATTTTACTCCCATTTCCAAAAGGGGTGATGGAAGTGATGGGCTTGGTGATGCAGATTAGAACCATCTTATCAGAATAATGAGCTCATTTGTCTTATTCTTTTTGCCAAGTGGATGAAATTTATCAGATACATTTTACTCTAATATCCAGGAGTTAGATAAGGATGTCACTGCATTGGCAAAACCATCTGTGCTGTTGTGCAGTAATACTGTGACTTACTGCAAATACTGGAAAATTATCACCAGTTCAATGTTATAACCAAATGGCTGAACGGAAGCTATACTTGAAGCATTCTGACGGGTGATGATGAAAATGGAACTCGGCTTGGCAGGCATTCATGAGCAGAAACGTCATAACCATATGATTTTTCACGATTGGAAAAATCTAGAACCTCAAGGTTGTGTGAGAAAGGAAATTCTGAGCCTTCCAACATGGTCTGTGCTCATTCATTTTGTTCATCATTATAGCTAGTCATGTTACGCTAGAAATATAATTTTCTTTTTTCATTATAGTACGATGGTATTTTATGATGGTTGATGGAGATGTGTGTAGTCCAGATCTTCTTCACTTTCTTGGAATACCTGTATTTGGTGTAGATTCTCAGATTTCATGTATCGTTCTTTTATAAAAATTGGGACATAACAGCACTTTCACGAGTTTCTGCGAACTTGACTAGTGGTTAATGTTTGGGAATTTTTAGAAAAAGAAATTATGGAACATCTCAGCTTCTGAAAAAATAAAAATATGTAGCTGTCAAGAAAGAGGCCTTTTCATCTTGCAATTTCATAATTTATTGGTTCATCTTCATATTTTTTTTAAAATGACCATTATATATTTCATTAAAGTGACTTTCGAATTATCTATTCTGTAAATTATTTGCAACAACTTTTCCAAATTTTCTAGAACATGATTTTGAAATGGGATTTTTGAGAAGCATGAAATGCATTTCAAAACAAGCTTTCCTAAGTAGGATTTTCAGAATAAACATTGACGAATGCGTGGAATGTATTTTGAAACAAGCTTTGGAAATATTCCAGAATGAGTTTTCTAGAATGAATTAATTTTTTGCAATGCGTTCTTCCTCTCCTTTCTCTGCAGCGGTAGTAATGATGATGGCTGAGGTGATACAATAGGAGGGTATTTTAGTCTTTTTAGTTAATATCGGAGTAAAGTTACTAATAATAAGGGTGTAAGGAAGCAAAGCACTGTAAGATTAGATTTACATTTCCAAAATTACTAACTATAATAAGAGAAAAAAAGACTTAAACACTTTCATCACTGTCACCAACCACCGCCCACCGACACTGTCGGTTCAACTCCTCCCGAAAAATTCTTAAACATTTTATATATTTTGAAAAGTTCAATCCGAAACTTCTAAAATGTATTTTATGTAAGAATATTTCAGAAAATTTATTCCAAAGACATGTATTTTAAAAAATTTATTCAGAAAATTTCATTTTGAAAAATCAATTCCGAATACATTTGATGTGTTGGAAATCATATATATATATATATATATATATATATATATAAATAGATTAAATTAAACAAATCTACATTTTAACATATATCAAAATCATGTTTGAAAAGTAAATTTAGTCTACTTAATATACAAATACATAAAGACTAGATGAAATTTAAATGAAGTGTCAAATGCAAACCCAAGATGACAAAAGGCAAGTCTAACAAAAAAGCCTAATGCAAAGGAGAAGTAGACAAAGTTAACACGTGCAAATCATAAAAAATATTCTAACATATACACATAAAACATCAGAGTTTGGATGCTCAATGTGATGTCAAGAACACAACTCAAAAATGCAACCAATATTGAACATTGACGTTGAAATTCTCACACCGAATAAAACTAATACCAATTTATAACATTCATTAATATTCAAATGAATGTGAATTTTATATTTGTTTTGTAAAATTGAATTAGACTTAAACGAAAAAGACTTAATAAAATCTTATCGATTGAATCAAACAGTGAAAAGTCAAATATGTTAAAAAGGAACAGCAGCAACATAAACTACCAGAAAAAACACCCAAGCTCCAATGATAACTTTTACAACATTTATAAATATAAGCAAATCAATGCATAAGAATAAAATGAAATGAAATACATACATGAGAAATGCATGCAAAATTGGATTTAAAAGCCATGAGAACCAAAAGGGAAATTGTTACAATTTTTTTTCTTGCTTTCATTTTCTTTTTCCATCTACAGTTACAGAACATCAGCTATGCAAGTAATCAAGGCCTGCCACTTTAAGACTTTGACCTGAAAACGCATCCACTGTCTGAATTTCTTTTTGTCCCTCTTTGAAGGGCACATTTGTTCTTGAATCTTTTTAATCAACTATTTACACTCTTAATAACACATTGTATTCACTCATATGTGAGATAGCCTTTGCGTACCTCACCTTTATAACACTCTGGTTTATCTGGCTGAAGTTCAGAACTTCTTATACAAGTAATAAAATTACTGAAAACATTAATGGTATCCCATTAATAGTCCCAGCACAACCTGCAGAATCTGCAAAGGAAAAATGTCAGTACAAAGGAATATTTCATGGTCTCATACAATGTTTTAGGGTTCAATGATTCAGCCAAATCAAAACATAGAGGAACAGAAAATAAACATGCATATATTTATAAGATTATGTAAAATATTAAATGATAAACTAACACAAAATAATAAAAATCAAGTCAAATAAAAATTTAAATCTGTCAAAGGATTTAATATATGGTTTGATAAAAGATAATAAAAGCCTTGTGTATGGATCGTAGCAACTAGCATAGGTTCTTTATTTGGTTAGAAGTATTTTTGATTGACTGAAAATATTTGAAAAATATTAAAAAGAGAAAACACAGAAAACAATTAGTTCTCTATGGTTGTATAGGATATGGACTAATTCCAGTCTGTTTAGACTTATGAACTAGACATGAGCAGTCCACTGGATTTTTAATGGAAGCAACTGTTCTGGTCCATTTTCATAACCATGGTAATTTATAGAGTTACCACATACTCTTAAGAACTCAAACAATCATTATGTTCATTTGCAAGTATAGCCAATACCCAGATACAATGAAATCCACAAGTTTAGAAAAGCTCAGGATCATGAAGGGAATAGTCAAACCTAAGGACGAGCAAGTGAGCTAGAGCTTAGTAACACTTTTTTCAATTATCTCTCAATAAGATTAATTTCAAATATGGTCTCGCTAAAACAACCTGATTCTGTGCTTTTTTCAGTGGAACCCTCATAAAACTTACAAATAGAAAAGAATGTATCAAAGAAATTTCATGTTAGCATTGCTCGAGATTATAATCCAATGTTGGAACATTAAATTTAATATTGATGAACTAGAGACCTCCATTAAAAAAAGGGGACAACAAAAACAAAGCAGTAGACTCTATACTGTATGACCCGAGCATGAAAGTTCATTTCAATGCAAAACAGTGAAAGAACTTCTTGAGGACATGCAGAGTAGGAGTTAGTTTGAGTCCAGACACAATTTGGCAGTTTCCTCCTCTCCTACTTCCCTTCAAAGCTCAACTTCATTGAGCTAATAATTTCTAATTCCTTTATAAACTTAGTAAACTCGATAAATTTAATAACAAGATATGACAAATAGCATTAAAACATGTGCAGACAAAAAGCTATGTAAAAAGGAGTCGTTTGTAATTTAGAGTTAATATGTTAGCTCATGCAAGTAACCATTAACAACACTCACATAAAGATGGCGATGGCCCATGAAAGTGTGTGCTGGGACGTTCAGCAGATGGCTCGTTCTTAGGAGGGGGGTCGATATGCGCAAATGCTATGTTTGGTAAAGGACTTAAGGCAGGAACTGAGAAATGAAAACCATGTGCTGAGGGTCGATCCTTTGGTGACGGAACAGGATAGTGTGGGGCATTAGTAGGAGCAACTGCAGGTGTTAGATGAAATTGTTTTTGAGTATTCCGGCTAGATCTCTTTCTAAACCCGGATTGACATTTTGGAGGTTGAGCATAAGAGCGTCTACCTGGGGCAGGCAGACTTCTTGCAGGGGCCGGAGAACCAAACTCAGGTGAAGCAGCACCTTCCCCAGTTGTAGGTATAGGTGAAGGTGAAGTTTCAGGAAAATCATGCGCATTATGGTGGTGACTATGGTGGTGATGGTGATGGTGATGGTGATGGTGGTGATGGTGGTGGTGAGGATGAGGTAGAGGGGCAGGGGAAGGTGACCGAGCAGAGCCACCACTGCCAGTACCATGAAGGGAGTGTTGCAAGATGGATGATAGTCGAACCTGCTTAACCCTACCAAACTGTGTGTTATTCAACCCAAGGTTCCATGAATGATGTCCCATTATGGTTTGTGCCAGTTGCTTTAGCCTCTCCTTTGATGGCGTCACCCCAACTGCAAGTAGGACAGACGTTTGAACTGTGGTAGGTGCAGCTACTGTAGAACCTTCAGAATTTGATAAGATGACATACAAGTTCTGCATACCAACAAGGAAACCCAATCAGAATCAGGTTGGTGACATCAGTATATTCGAAATCCTTCCAGTATTAAGAATAAGTAAATGTATATTGAGTAAGGATAAGGAATTCCTAGATTTAAAGATTATACCCAAGACAGCTAGCGTATTTTTCATGATATATGTTAGTCTTTTGGCTTACAGAGTCCAACCTTAAACATGGTTCACTTGTAACTGATAGAAATCCCACAACAGAATCCATAATACCATATAAAGGTAATCACATAGAACCCATAATTGACAGATTTGACATGACATCAGAACTGAGAAAGTATGTAAAAAAACTACAATCAAGAGCCATACAACAAAAGCAGTAAGGACAGAAATAAAAAAGACAAACCTCATAAGGAGCCAAAAGTAGCCCAGCCTTTAGCTGACTAGTCAGCTCACCAAAATCTGTTTGTATTTCGTAAATGGAGAAATTCAAAGTAAAGTTGAATAGTGTTTGCACTGTTTGCAGAGGAAACACACTTTGTTGTGGAATGATAGTGATCCCTCCCTTAAATTTCAGCATCTCAAAAACGGAGGGTACACCAAATAAGGATGTAGTGAGCAGGAGATATGATTGGCGTATAACAAAGTATTTAAATGACGCTCTTATCAAACTAATGGCAGCTGCAGACATTTCAGAATATTTACCATCTGGATCAACTGCAAACACGACTTTTGTCATGTTTGATCGTCGTAAGAGATCCACTGACAAGATGACCACCTAGTTTTAAAATATAAGAATGAGTTCTATATCAAATAATATTAACATTAATAAAGTTCTTTTACCAAAAAAAAAACATGCTAATAAAGTTCACAAAAGGAAACCAGTGAAGGTGTTACTTTGGTTGAGGGAACCCCTATCTCTTCGAAAATGTCATCAGAAAGCTGCAACATATTGTCTTTTACCACAGAAACTGGCTTCTGCAGATAAAAGCTTGCAACGATATCATGATCTGAAAAGTTAAAACAACGTCATTTAATAAAAAGATTAGATAATCATGCTCGAAAGCGTAACTACATTACATTATTTATCATATAAATTATATAATAATATATGGTAACATATGAGTTAGAAGCTTACAAATATATAATTACAAGGACATTTTCATATATCACAAAATTGAAGATAACATTCATGGTTCTTTG